ATATCTCACAGATTGAGATATTTTCGATAAAATGTTCGCTGTAGGAACTGGGGTCCACATATTCAATACATGGGGGGTGGAATAGTTTTATTCCGATGTAAACAATTATTGGTTATAAGGTCGCCCAACTCAAAGGCCCTATTCATGCAAAGTTTTATCCCGATACATTCATTGGTGCTTGATTTGCATGGTGGAAAGTGAAAGAATCAGATGGAATTTAAAATTGTGTTATATAAGCAGGCGTGGTTGCCGTCCGTTTTCGCACTATAGCATAGAAATATGAGAAAAATGTCACGAATTTGGTTGGAATCGGGTAAGCAGATCCCAAGATATGGGTTTTCACCTAAAAGTGGGCCTAGTACCACGCCCACTATCTAATTTTTAACGCGGTTCCTATAAAGTCATCTCATAACATCTCAGGGATAAAATTTAATGTCTCTGGCGTATTTAGTGCTTGATTTATTGCGCTTTTAGTAGTTTTTAGCAGTACCGTTATCTGGGGAGGGGGCGGAGGTGTCACCAGATTTCACCCATTTTCACACTGTCAATAGAGGTGCTAAAAGCATTTGTTCTCAGTGAATTTTGTTATTATAGCCTTAGCGGTTTAGGAGATATGCACATTATACCTATTAGGGGGCGGGACCACGCCCATCTTAAACATTTTGTGGCGTGGCAGTGGTCCGATTACGCCCATCTGCAATACCAACCGTCTTACGGTACCAAAAAAATATATCTCAATTTTTACTCAAGTTACAGATTGCACAGACGGACGAACAGACAGTCACCGGATTTCAAATCGTCTCTTCATCCTAATCATTTATATATATAACCCTATATCTAACTCGATTAGGTTTAGGTGATACAAAAAACCGTTAGGTGAATAAAACTATTATACTCAGCAACATGTTGCAAGAGTATAAAAATCTCTAAAACAAAAATCGGATCTGGAAATTACAGAATTTTGTTAACGTAAATTACTATATACATATATGCATGGCTTCAAAAAAAGCTACTAAATAAGATGAACAAACTTAGAAAATTACTAAATTTAATAATTATATTTAACATATTTAACATTTAAAACAATATTTGTTCCCCCATACAACGGTTAGAAATATTAATATATAATATAATATATAAGAATATTAGAAGGTAAATATTGATTAATAGACAATCTAAGAAATAATGGTATTTGCCGATTTAAATAATTATATATAATTATTAGAATAAATGTAACTGTTATACATACATATGTATATGTTCACAGTAGCTGTCTTCGATTCACCATTTCACTCCTCGTTTCTGCTCTCTTGTAAAAAAAAAAATTACATGTAAAAGCAACAGCAAAGTTATGGAGTTAAATTCGTACAAGAGTATGCGGATACCTTATTATAGTGGTATTGCCGCAGTCTTAAATGCTACCAAGTTTTGTTTTCCATATTTTAGATCAGTTTTACTATTGTTGAATAGTTGAAATGACAAATTAAAACCCAAATTTCCTGAACAGGGTATATTAAGTTTACCACGAAGTGTGTAATACTCATAAGGAAACGTCGGAGACCCTATAAAATATATACATAAATGATTAGCATGATGCGTTGAGTTGATTTAGCTATGTCCGTCTGTATATAGACGAACTCATTTGTCGGAATGAACCAGTATATCATATAGCTGCTATACAAACTGAACGATCGGAATCAAGTGCTTGCATGGAAAACTTTTTCATTTGACGAGATATCTTCACCAAATTTGGAACGGATCAAATCTAAGGCAATAATAAAATATCCGAAGAAATTGTTAAGATCGAATTACTAGAGCAGATTGCTGTCATACAAGCTGAACGATCGTAACCAAGTGTTTCCATGGAAAACTTTTTCATTTGACGAGATATCATCACGAAATTTGGAACGGATCATTATCTTAGGCAATAATAGAGTCTTCGAAGATGGGATCACTATAGCATATCGCTATCATACAAGCTGAATGATCGCAATCAAGTTCTTCTAAGGAACCTTTTGTATTTGTGAATTATAGCTTTGGTGCAACCGGTAATAATTAATAGAAAACGAAAATAGAGGGATAAAGCAACGTTTTTACCGCGAAAAAATAATTTCTTTACTGCCCGTTTGTTTGAGCATTTGGTATAGTTTGTTCGTACCGGAGGGAAGTAATGCTTGGCGAATCGCAGACAGCTAGTATATACTTATGAGAAATCATTACCTCTAAACACGTTATACCTATGTCCATTTTTTTCTTTGGTTCATTGTTTAGACTTGTTTTCACGTTGAATAACAGCCAGCTAAAACAAATAATAACAATTACCTACTATGCGCGTATCAGCGAGCACTGCCAGCGCCGGCAGCAGCCGCTGCCAGGTTGTTGTAGTGTAGCGCACTAGTTGAAGGTGATTTCATAATGAGTGCAACGGCACAATTGCAAGTACCACCATACCCCCTCAACGGCCACACCAAACACTGCGAGTATTGTGATCTCTTCGATTTCGTTTTGCTTTTCGTAATAAATAAAACGAAAACTACAATCGTTGCATTGATGAGATGGTGAGACGTTGAACGAACGGCAGCTTTTTAAAAATAACGTAATTATATTTTATTGTCAGCTGTAAAAATTGGTATGAATTATTATGTACATGTATATTTTATTTGATTGTCGACAATGCGGAGTAGTAACGTTCACACATGTATAGAATACTCTTTCGCGCGCTTTGCCTCACTTTCTTATCACAGATATTCAAAAAAAAGTGCAAACTTCTTTATTTTATTTGTTTCGCTTGAATTTAAATTGACGCAATTTCTCTTTTAAAGTAAAGAACTATGAGTAGCGTATAATAGTTGGCGTTCTCTTAAAATTACCGCAAAAGCGAGTGCGAGAAGTGCTTTGCTTTCTTCGATGTTAATAAAATTGCTGATTGATGTGTCGATTGCGTGCAAGCTGGTAATTTTTGGCCTTGACTTGGAGAATGAATTGCAAATTTTGCAGAATGCGGATGCAATAATGACGAGCATATCAGATACGAGTCGAAGTTGCGTTAAAGACAGTTAAAGAAGATTAAATTTGTATGGGAAAAATAAATAAAAGAGGAAAACGGGATTGGATTAACTATAAAATAATAGACTATCTGTAAAATTGACATGCAAAAGAGTTATTAAAGCGGTTAGGTTAGTTTGAAAATTTCAAAAAAAAATAAAATATTAAATTTTTTTGTCTTATTAAATAGTACAATATGTTTAAAATATAAATCATATAATATAATAAGACATACACGCAGCGGAATTTCCTACCATCAGGGCCCGTAATTGCAGCGCTTCTCAAAACTCAATTTTTTAAATCGCTGGACACAATTTCTCGGAAAGTTATGAAGCGATTTTGTTTACATCCAATACATGGTGAAAATTTTACCAATAAATTTGTATTTTGTTGAAAGTCTGTCAAAAATTGAGACATCAAGGGAGATGAGGTATCATCGGCTGAGTTTTCGGAATTTTGAAATAAAAATTTCATAAAATACTGTTCTAAAGAAACAAAAATAGTAACCTCTCTGAAACCCACCTTAAAGGGTAATACTATCGTTAAGCAGATTTACAGTACAAACTTATTTCAAATTGACATTACGGTTGACAAATTACTATGCTATCATTATCGTATATCATAAGGTTAGCGGAAAATAAGTTATTTTGTGTTGTAACGGGCTTTTTCAATCATCATGAATAGACTCACGCCTGAACAACGCTTGCAAATAGTGCAATTTTATTTCGAAAATAATGGTTTTGTGCGGAATACGTATCGCGCAATACGTTCATTTTATCGTCGAGCGCACTTCTGGTTGAATGGCTACGTCAACAAACAAAACTGCCGCATTTGGAGTAAAGCTAATCCTCAAGTGTATGTCGAAACACCGTTACATCCAGAAAAAGTGACTGTTTGGTGCGTTTTATGGGCTGGTGGAATCATTGGTCCGTACTTCTTCAAAAACGATGATGGCCAGAACGTTACAGTCAATGGTGACCGGTATAGGGCCATGATTACTAACTTTTTAATTCCTAAATTGAAGAACCATGATGTCCAGGGGCTGTGGTTCCAACAAGACCGCGCAACATGTCACACAGCTCGTGCCACAATCCATTTATTGAAAGACACGTTTGGTGACCGCCGTTTTCACGTTTTGGACCTGTGAATTGGCCTCCAAGATCTTGTGATTTAAGACTACTTTCTGTGGGGCTATGTAAAGTCAATGGTCTATGCGCATAAGCCACAAAGGCTTAACCATTTTAAAGACAACATTCGCCGTGTTATTGCCGATATACGGCCACAAATGTTGGAAAAAGTCATCGAAAATTGGACGTCTAGATTGGACTACATCCGAGTCAACCGTGGCGGTCATATGCCAGAAATCATATTTAAAATGTAATGCCACAAGATTATCTTTAGGATAAATTAAATTAATGTCAATCGAATAATCCATCGTTGTTTTATTGCAATTTAAAGTTCTATACCTCTAAAAAAAACACCATATACAATCTCCAAATATACAAAATGGATTAATTATTCTGAATTAAGATTTATATTAAGATGAGATTGATCTCATTTCCATTTTTTTGTATTTTAAGCAGGGCTACAAATAATGCATTAAAAGGCAATTGAATTAACGTTTTAATTAAAAATTTTTACATTTATTTTGTAATCTTGAAAATCTTCTTAAAAATGCTTTTAAAATAATTTGTAGTCCCAAACAAGATTGAAAGTTTCAAAATAAATTAATTCCAAAAGGCAAGCTTATTTTTAATAAAATTTCAATATACATATGTATTAGCTTAAGACTATTTGTTTATTTATTAAATTGAAATTTTAATTTATGACTCATATTATTTAAATATGAAAACACTTTACAATATCAAGTCTGTAAATATTTGAGTTAGTTCTGCTTCCCTAATATAATATTTAATGCTTTCGTATTAATATATTTTAATAAATTTAACACTTACGCATACGAATGTACATACAGCGGAAGAAAAGTTGAGTGAACAATATTTACCTGAAAAAAAAAGAAAATTTTAGTATTTTCATAAAATTGAAATACAAATTTAATGGATACGCATCAATTTTAAAATACTATTATACTTTTATTACAGAGCAGTGTGGACCGATTGAGAAAAACTAAGAAATAATTACATTTCAATAGGGATATAATTAAAATCGCATGTAACTTATTCAGAAGCAAAAGCACATCGCTTGAAAATAAACACGATCAAATCTATAGCAATAGGTCAGTTCGTGTTATAACGATATTTCTATTTCCTTTATGTGCTCTATATTTGCCATCAAAAAGAACTGTCATATTTTATATTAATGTTTTTATATACATATGTACATGGTATATCTAAAATATCAAATCCTAATGAAGGCGCAATTAATATCTTAGAAACATGTAGACGTATATCAATGTTAAAAAAATCGTATTCAGAGCACGGTAAATTCATTTTGCGTCAGCGCATATTTTTTAAAAAGTGTAGTTATATATGCATTTATTCATATACTCGTACATTATAGTCGTTTTTTTAAAAGCTTTGCGCCCATTGCTTACGATACATTTAAAGAGATTTGCTTTGTAAGCGAACGTATACAATATTTTTGAATCTACTCACAAGTGCCGATAACATTCGATGGGAATGTACGATAGTACGTACGAGTGCGGAAAGTTGGTAAATGAGCGAGCGATCCATACCTATTATATTCACAAGCAACTGGTCGATGGCAGAGTATGGGCGCGCCGAATGCTCAGTTTAATAGTCACACAGTGAACAGGGTAGTGATCTACCGCACGTTAAACATTTTCATATTTCAATATTTATAGAAATAACGGCAACAAGAGCAATAGTGCCAATAACACACACACAAACGGTAGTTCATATAACTAATAGACGCGTCAATCACAACAAAGTAGCAACCTTGACCGTGGGAAGGCGATGATTTTGTCGAATAACGCAGACGTTGGCCGAGTAGATGATTGAAAAAACAGCGCATGCATTCGCTTTATTTTTGCCTTTGAATTTTTTTTGTTCTTGACAATTCCCGAATTTAACCAATTCGTGTTGTTTTTAGCGTCTTAATATATTAGGAGCGCTCATTTCAAATTATGATAGAATCAATAATTTGTCGTTCATTGTAACTTAAGTGATGCAAAAGTACCTTCAACTCTATTTTTTATTAACTTGTGGACGAATTAGCTTGGTATATAATTTGATTTTAATGAACAGTACACAGCCCGAGAAAATTTCTTTTCATAGAAATAAAAGCCTAACAGCAGGGATTCAATTTGCAAACTTACATATTCAGTGGTTACCAGAAAAATGGCTCTGCATCTTGTTGTCAGAAGAATTAAAGAAAATTCAGTTTTTTTTTGCGAGGTTTCTGACAGTATGTGAAAATACCACACAAAAACGAATTGAACCCAAAACATTGTATAAAAACTGTCAAACATGGCCGGACAATCATAATGCTGAGGGCATGTTTTTCCTACTATGGCGTAGAGCCAATACAATGAGTCAAGGATATCAGGAATCGGCTCGGTTATGTCAAGATTAATTAACACAAAATATTATTTCATTCTTATTAGTATCTTTTTTACATGAAACTATTATAATTAAAGAAATCGTTTGACCATTTTTTTTTTATTTCAAAGTTTTCGATAATTTTCCAGTTGAACTTCCATGAAGTAGCTGTTTTTTGTTTATATTTTTTCATTACTAAATATGTAAGATACAAAAATTACATTCGAAACAATTAAGTCGCATTATTTATTCTGCATTATCCATGAAGCCAATTTGCGCTCTTATTTTGATTACAGCTGTATATAAATGAGCAGCGTGGCCAGCTGAGTTGATTAAGCCATGTCCGGCTGTTAGTATATACGGCAACTAGTCTCTCAGTTTTTAAGATATCGATCTGAAATTGGGCACACGTCTTTTTTCTCTCAAGAAGCTGTTTAATTGATATCCGACCACATAGCATAAATATGCCATTCGAAATGACCTATCGGACTGTGCTTAATCAGTCCCCCTGTGGGTAGGGGTAAGAATTTACTCGCGGTAAGGCATGCCTGTCGTAAAAGGCGACTAAAAGCCAAATGCACTATGACTGTTATTTTATTTTTCCCAGAATATCAGCATAGTAAATGATAACAGAAATAGTGCTATAATACTCAGCTTGAACTGATATTATAGACTTTAAATGAGATTCCAAATAAAGAGACATTTGAAGTTCAAGCGACAAATGTCACCAGTCATTGAATACGGCGGAGCTCAACTGGCAGTAGCCTCGGCTACACAGTCTTACCGGAGACTCAACTCTGGTACCATGGGAAGCAGAATGCCCTTGGACTTCGGTAAATCTCCAACGGAAGTGCGAACAGTCTGAATTACTGAATAGATTAAATTTAATCTAATCACTTCAAGTTTTCGGTCTGAACATGATATTAGTATCGGTTGTCCGTGTAGTGTCATGCATCCATCATTGTATGTTTTAGTGATATTTTCTGTCAATATTTGCACGGCAAACCCTGAAAGTAAACAAAACTAATAAAGCGAAATGAAAGCTATTAACACCATACGTCAATACCTGCGAATTAACCGCAATCGTCTCACGATTTTGTACATAATCTTGTTTTATTGTTAGCTTTTACAGAACTTTTATGCTTCCTTTACAAATCAATCGCGATGGGAAATGTAGTAAAGTCAATCAGAGACCACAAAAATAGAACATGCTCTTATTTATATAAATATTTCTTCTAAAATTTACTTAAAATTTTTTCTGTAATTTTTCTTTTTTCTCTTATGATAACTCCAATTCTCTGCCATTATGTACATTTACGCTAATGTATTTATATTTGCAATTATGTTTTTTACACGTCTGTTGAATTTAAGATATTTTATGCGAGCGAGACAAGTGGAAACTTTGTGTTTTTAACATTGATCTATATTCAAAATGAATTTCGTATACATATTTGAAGATAATATTTGAATAGAAACCATTGTGGACGTAGTACTATCTGCGATAAAACGGAAATAACCATTTGTGTGCCTGGTGTTAGTGAGCAATGTTTTTTCAATAATTTGATAACGAAAGCGTATTAAATAGACATTTAAAAATAAATATAAAGATAATTGCGATTATTTTGATTATGTTTTGGCTTAATTACTGTAACTCAAGAACATATAAAAAATACAACCATCACCAGAACAATAACCCCAAACACAAACGCTCGTTGTAGAAAACCTGGATCATATACAATTGCAAAAGTTAAGCTAAAAGAAGCCCTACAAATAAACCCAATCTAATCTTGGAGAACTTAAGTCACTGAATAACACATGGTCTACGTGTTTGCATCAATCCAAATAGCCGATATAATAAATATAACGTTAACATTCATTTATTCTACTTAGTAAAAACACATTTAAAAAAATTCCAAACACATTTTGAATCCCAAAAATTAGATTAAAAATTAAAATTTGATCCTAAATAGAGTAACCCTCTTCAGTTTGAGAATTAAAAATTAACATTTTAATAGAAAATGTGTTTTTGAAATTATATTGTATTAACACATTTTGTCTAATTTTTTTACAGTTACAGAATTCAGAAACTTTGTTATAGCTATATTTAAAAAATATTATATATTGGCATCTACATATTTTATCTACAATTTTTTTTACAATGATTGAGATAATTCTGGCTTTTGATTTTTTTTGATTGAAGATACATTCATCTATAGTATTGTTTATTTCTTCTATAAAAACAAAGATTAAAATTAAAACTGCATAGATTTTCTTGGTGCAAAAAATTAATTAACAAAATGTATATCAAAATTTCTCCACCCTCATTTACTTTTATATTCTATAAATGATATAATTAGCAGATGATAACTGGAATACGTTGCATAGACTATTCATTCTATAGAATAAACCTATGTCGATGTTCATCAAAATACATATTGAATACAAATAACATTTTTAAAGCCATTTTGAGGTTAAACGCTTCAGTATACGAGGTGTAGCTATTAAATAACGAGACTGCTTACAAAAAATGGTTTAATTAAAAAAATTATGGTACAATCGAACTTTCCCCCTCAATATACTCCCCTCCATCCTTTTTGTCACTGCTCAAAGCAGTGTTCGAAGTAGTTTTTTGTTAGAAGTTTCAGAAGTTCCGCCGTTTTCCTTTTCTCCTCTTTCAACGACTTGAATCGGCTTCCCTTTAGTGCGGACTTGATTTTCGGAAACAGGTAGAAGTCGCAGGGTGGTAGATCAGGGGAGTAAGGAGGGTGTTCCAGCACTGGAGTACACTTAGCGGCCAAATAACGCTTAACAGAAAGTGCGTTGTGCGCAGGTGCGTTGTCCTGGAATAAAATGCAGAATTCATGACTTGTTTTTCCACAACGCCGGCCGTTTCTTACGAACTTGTTTGCGCAGTGTTTTAAACCGCTACAGAAAAAAAAACTACTTCACCGCCAGACATGTGTTGTCGTACTGGAATAGTAGACCCTTCCAGCTGTACAACGGTGCATTGGGTTCCCGCCTAGTGCCGTTTCACATTGGGATGCAAAAGAGTCTGATGTTTTTCAAATTTTCTTTTGGTGTCGCTCTGGGCATTCACACGGTCAAAAAGAGTCCAGCAACTCGAGTCTAGTTTTTCTGCATTCCTTTTCACAAAATGTTCGTAAATATTTGTGCGGTTCGACTGCGCAACACCGCGCAACACTGCGTGCTGCGTATTTCATTTGTATGTTGAGATGATGGTCACACATTTTGCTTGCAATGAATTACCATGAATATGGTAGAACAATATGCATAATACAAGAACCTACCCGCTAAATAGTTTCAAAAAAATACTAAAGACGGGAATTCCCTAATCCACAAGAATGTATTGGATATCCGCTACTAATATTTTCAAGGCCAAATTTATAATAGGAATTTCCTAATCTTTAAGTATTAAAAACTCATAATTTCTTTACTCCGTATTAAAAATTCATAATTTCTTTACTCCATAATCGATATCTTAATTTTCTCCTTATTTACAATTTGTCATAATATTTCTATTATTCTATGCATACGTATTTGCATATTACATACAAAAATAGATAACAGAACTCAAATTTGCGATCGAATTCATTTGAAACCGAGCGCTCTTGCAACCATTCAAAGGATTTGAAAGTGAAAAGGAATGCTGAAAAGGGTGGCAGCGAGCTGTTACGAACAAGAACACAAAGCGTGCCACCCGAACACGAGTGGCACGGTCCCTTCGTCTTTCCTCGTCGTCCCCTCACCCACAATAAACTGGTATGAGACTCTTTTGCGTCCCAATGTGAAACGGCACCTACCCTCTCCTGGAGGCCATCTGCGCGCGCAATTTATATAAGGTGCAATTCAAAAGTTTCAGGACTTTTATTAAAAAACGAAAATAATTTTTTTTTTTTTTTAAATTTATTGGTCACCTTCAAAATAGTCTCCTTCCGCCTGAATACAACGTTTTGCACGTTCCAGAAGGTTATCGAATGACTTTTTTATGTCATTTGTCGGTATAGCGTCATCGCCTATTGGATGGCATCAACGTCAGCATAGCGGTTTGCTTTCATGGCCAAATCTAGTTTTCCGAACAAATAAAAATCGCAGGGTGCCATATCAGGCGAATAGGGTGAATGGTTGATGATATGAATGCGATTTTTGGTCAAATTGAATGTTGAATTCTGAGGTCTTTTTCGTGTTGTTTCAAAGTGTGCGGGACAAATCGAGCACAAACCTTTCTGAGACCCAAATTATCTGTTAAAATACGATATATCGACGCTGCGCATATTGATAATTTCGATTCCATATATTTAAGCGATGATTTCGGCTCTTTTTTAATGAATTCACGCACAATTTCCGTGTTTTTTTCGTTCACAACATCTTTTGGCCGGCCCGAACGTTCGTCGTCTTCCAAGTCCTCCCGTCCCTCTTGAAAACGTTCAAACCACTCGTGAATACGGCTACGGGATAGACAATCATCGCCATAAGCTTGTTTTATCATTTGATGAGTTTTGGCCAAGTTTAAAACAAAACTTAATGTTGGCTCTTTGTTCGATGCTCATTTTCCGACCGACACTACAAATGTAATGTCACATGTAGCGCGATATATCAGCTATTATACAAGTTAACTGTTATATAAATTTTATACGACAACACTGAAGAATACACAATTGAGGGATAACAGTTTCAGACAGATGGCGCCACTAGAAGCCACGTTGTTTAAAAAGTCCTGGAACTTTTGAATTGTACCTTGTATTTAATAGCCACACCTCGTATATTGCACATTATTTTTCATTTTACATTACTTTTCATTGGAACATTGTATTTGTGTTTTTTTTTTTTCGTTGACAATAATATGGTAATTTATTGCATTTTAATGTGTTATTTAAAATACCGCATTTTCACAACTTTTAATTATTATTTATTTGATAAGCAAATTCCTTTCCAAGAAATGTTTATGTTTACAGAATTACTAAAGATGCTGTGCAAATATTGGACTGAGTTGAAGAGGATGAGTCTACAGTTTACTCATGAAAAAATATCACAAAGTTTATCAGATAAATAATTTAAATCCTCTAAAAAAACACTTCCAGATTCAAGTTAATTGTCAGTACATTATTATAAATGTTAATCAGTTATGGTATGAGTACCAGAAAAAATATAACTTCACTCATCACAAGAATCTGAATAAGAGCAAGTATACTTTAATGACAAGGGAAAATTAATATAACAACCCTTAACAAAGATGAAAAAATGTTAGCAATATTTGGTGTACACACTTTTAATTATAGTGCTAAAACAGTACTATTAAAATTATAAATTTAAAATTAACACATAAAAAGCTAAAATAACTGAAATTGATAAAATGGATATGCGCTAAATATAAGTTCTTGAATTTTAGATTTAAAAGATTTCCTAACCCACTAGTTTGGATCGAATTCGTACCAAATTTCCACTATACAATTTTTGACTTTGTTTTCATTTTTTAGAAGTCAGAAGACCACAATAACATAAATTATGGTTGCCAACAGCACGAAAGCAAAATAAGCTGAGAGGTATTCA